GATGGGTGTTTACTGCGGCTCACCGTCTGTGGCAGGCACAAACATAGAACTTCCTGACTGTCCAGATTCATTAATTTCAATGTGAAATCCGCACTTTTATAAATAAAATCAAGAGACACTCCACTGCCAAAATACAAAAAAAAACACTGCTTAGATATAGCATCCATGAACACTTACATACATTTAATTACGCATTTTTTAATTAGGGGTATATTTAAAAATAGCTTGTAAAAGCTGCAAATCTCTTGTCTGAAGACTTTGCAAACCTTCCCCTTCTAATCCCGCCCAGATTTTCTGTGGTTGTCCAATCAGAGAGTTTCCGATGCAGCTCAATGAGAACTATTTGCAAGGCTAAATGCTGCCTCTTGAGTTTATCTCCACTGAGCTAAACAAACCAGGAAGTAACAGGATGGTGTGTCTGATTGACAGCCAGGGGGGTTTAACCAGGATCATTTATAAATGTGCTAATGTCTACTGAAATCTGCACTTTTTGACAAATGGAAATAAAAGAGGATGTGCCCTTCACATATAAATCACTACAGTAGGCTGAATCAAACAGCTCAGGAGGTTTTCTTACCCTTTCCAATAACCAGGGGCGTACCTAGAGCATTTGGCACCCGGGACGGATCCTGTGTTTGGCACCCCCCTCTTTAAAATGTAAAAAACAAAAAAACAAGTTTTTTTAAAATGTTTTCAAGAATATTTATTGCACAAGTTTTGTAAATCGTATATCAACTTGAAAACACTAGAACTATGAAAAATAAATTAACTTATAAAAAACACTATTGTCCTCCCTATTAAACAAAACCCTGTCCTCCCCCTTATACAAACCCCTGTCCTTCCCCCTTATACAAACCCCTGTCCTCCCCCCTTATACAAAACCCCTGTCCTTCCCCCTTATACAAACCCCTGTCCTCCCCCTTATACAAACCCCTGTCCTTCCCCCTTATACAAACCCCTGTCCTTCCCCCTTATACAAACCCCTGTCCTCCCCCTTATACAAAACCCCTGTCCATCCCCCTTATACAAACCCCTGTCCATCCCCCTTATACAAACCCTGTCCTCCCCCTTATACAAAACCCTGTCCCCTTCCCTTATACAAAACCCCTGTCCTTCCCCCTTATACAAATCCCTGTCCATCCCCCTTATACAACCCCCCTGTCCTGACCCCATTAAACAAACCCCTGTCCATCCCCCTTATACAAACCCCTGTACTACCGTCCACCAATCCTCTGCCCCTTCCCTTACCCATTCTACAAAAATCCTGTCCTTCCCCTTAAACAAAACCCCTGCACCCACTGCCTCTAAATTTTGTTTATAAAAATATGGTATATTTAGGACACAGTAAATAAGATTGTGTTTTGTTCATGGTAGCATATTTTTTAATTTTCATGAATTAAATATTTATCATAACATGACTATTTTAATGATTAGGATTCCGGGAATTAAACTTGCCATGTATGTACGTAGTGGGGAATCGCGATGCAGCCTAGAACATAAACTAACCCCATTCAACCCCCCAATAACGACAGACCACTTAGTATGGATGAAACAGGCCACAGCATTTATTATCACAAACTAAATTACTGCATAACACATCCATAACTTTATTTATTAAATCTCTTCTTTCTGTAACCAAAAACGTTAGACATAAATAGGCATAAATTAACGTATATACATATATAACTCCACCCATAGTGTTATACAGTGACCCAACCGTCCTTGCCAATAAACATACAGTGGTTCCTAATCACCACTTCCTCTCACCTCCCCCCTTGTCATAAAAATCATATCTTTCCAATGCCCGCCATCAACTGACCTTATCCACGCTCGATGGGCACGACACCTCAGGCAACCTAATGTTAACTGTTTGAAGCAGGGGAGGTTGAGACCTTAAAAACTTGTTCATCTCATTCCATATACTTAAAC